TTGGGTCCAGGGCGGGGCTGGCTCACTCCTTCACTAGTCACCCTCTGGGGAAAGGACCAGAAGGCCGCCTCCCCCCCCCCCATCCCCCGGACTTTGATTCCATAGTCAGGGTCCTCTCTCTCCAGTGTCCTTTGTTCCAGCCACGGAGGCAAGAATCCATGGTGCGACTGGCCTCGTCATCTTGTTCAGAAGTCAGCTTTGTTTCCAAACACACATTGGCACCCCAGGAAAAGTGTACCAGGTTACCCCAAGGTCAAGACCCACACTAGAGAAGCAAAAGCCCTATTCGGGTTAAATGCCATCGTGAAAAACACCTTAATTCAATTAATACAAACCAAAAAAAAGAAAAAATAAAGCAGACTGCTGGGTGGTGATCAGAGAGGGTGAACAAACCATGAAACCTACTGAGGTTTTCCTACAAAGGGGGTGTGGGGTGTTTGGCTCCAATATGGAAACATCGTATGAGCCCCTTACCCTTGTATAAGTAATACATGTTAATAAAAATTGGTTTTAAAAAAAATCAGTCGACGACATCATTATTGCTATCACTAGGGAATGTGCCAGAAATTGAGCCGCCCCCTCCCCCACTCCAAAAGTCCACTTTGGGAGCCATGATTTCTTAGGCCACCGTGGGCTTCTTGTGGTGCCCTTGAAGCCCTGAAGCGGTAGCCGCCATGTGAGAAACTGCACCGTCACCGGCGGCTGGCTGGGCGCCCCGCCTCCAGCTCCAGTTGCTGGGCGTGGCGAGAGCCAGCGCAGATAAACAACCAGGCTTCCCGCACCCACTCCACCCCAGCCCCAGGCAGCTCAAGCCTGCCTGGACCCCACCTCTCCAGTTACTAGGACAAGCTTTTGAGCTTCCCTCAGCTTGCCCCCCCCCCATCCTGGGGCCCCTCCTGGGCCGGACGTTTCATAATTCTGATGTTGATTGCTTTTCCTGGCACTCCCTGCACCCGTCTCTTCCTGGCCTCCCCTCCCTTCAGCTCCAGGGCCGCCTCTCGGTGAGCCCCTCCCAGTCCAGCTTGCTCAGCAGCTGCCCTTATGTTCAGGGAAGAGAGAACGTTGGAGTGTGTGTGTGTTGCCTTTGTCCTCACAGCTTTGAGAGCCAACCTTCCATCTTTTCTTTTCCATCTTCCTTTATGCTCTTTTTGCTTAGCCAACAGGAGACAAAAGGGTTGGGGGCAGGCCTGGCGGGGGGGGGCAGGGAGAGGGGGGCCCTCAGCCCTGAGACTGCTCAGGCCTTTGATGGAGATGTGTCCTCTTCCCTGACCAAAGTCTGGGCAGATTCCCCTGGGGGCTGCCGCAGGAAGCAACCTTGATTTATCCCAGACCCAGATGTGCCAGAACTCAGTTTCCTGACACGAACCTCTCCACTCCTGTCCCCCCCTCCCCGAGGGAACACCTGGCCCACGGCCCTATGTCCCAGGCCCTTGGGCCCCAGTCCTAATCACCCCCCTTCTTGGACCTTGCCCAAGCCGGCCTCCTACTGGAGAACCTCCCTGTCCTCTTCCTCCTAACCCCTCCTCTGGCTCCAGGGTCACCTCCATTTGCTGCAGCCACAGATCCCATTGCAGGGCCTCTCTCTGCCGTAGGCCTTGGCCAGTAGAGGGAAGAGTGAAGGAATGGGGGGCTCACCTGCCTCCACTGCCCTGTGACTCCAGCAGCCCCCAGACTTCTCCCCCCATACTACCAATTCCCAATGTCTTAGAGCCCACACACTGGCCTGTACCCTGATTCTCAGCCTCAGGCTCACCTGCAGGGAATCCTGGCAGCTCTTCTGGCCCAGTGCTGACATCTCCCTGTCTAGGTTTGCAAAGCCCTCAGTCTTCTCTCTTCTCCAGAACCATCAGGACCCCGCCCCCATGCCCACACATTGCTAGAGGCCCTGTTTCTGGACATGGCTACAGGAATGTCCTCAGCCTAGGACTCGCCTGCCCCTACAGGGAGTCCACAGCTCCAAGGCTTCTTTGGTCTGCCTTAGCACCAACTATGTGCAAATCCACGCATGGAGCCAGGTGGGTGGAGTGGAAACTCTGGAGGCTGCCGACCTTGAAGCCTGTGTTCATTGGCTGAGGGTGTCAGTGGTCATTGTCATCCACCCCAAAATACCAAGTACCAAGGTTCAGATGACGGGGGAACACAAGAACTCTTTCAGGAAGCTGGGAGCTGTTATTCTCCCTGGTGCAAATTATATTTTTCCAACAGTTTAAAATGGGCTGGAGTTATGGTTCAGTTTTAGAGCAATTGTATACACACACACACACACACACACACACACACACACAACTCATCAGTAAAGGGAAAGAAAAAGAAGGGAGAGCAGTTTAAACAGCTGCTGCTGCTGCTGGTGGTGCTATATGAAGAGACAGGAGGAGCCGGAGGCCCACCTAGGGTATGTACCTAGCAGGACCCTATCTCAAAACAAACCATGAAACTAGGTGCCGGTCCTCATGTCTAGAATCCTAGCTCCTAACTCAGGAAGCTGAGATCTGAGTATCAAGGTACAAAACCAGCCAGGGCAAGAAAGTCCACCAGACACTTATCTCCGATTAAATACCAAGAAGCAAGAAATAGAACTGGGGCTCAAGAGGTAGAACACTAGCTTTGAGCACCAAAGACAGAGCCCAGGCCCTGAGTTCAAGCCCCAGGACCAGCACAAAATAAACACAAATAACAAGAAGCTAGAGGACTCGGTATGTGTTGGGGATGAGATGTGCTGATGGACTGGCTGAGGGCAGCTGCCAGGCGAGGAAAGGCCCATTAGTGGGGTCCAGCGACAGCAGGTCTTGTTGTGGATACCAAGAAGAACAGGAGGTTGTAGCTTTAAGTATTTTGAAAAGTTATTTTACGGAAAAGAAAAATTCCAAAGCAGAATCTGTTTCTAGAATGCTCAAGTCCCATTACCAAGTTGGGGAACCCCTAAATGTGGTGCTCTGGGAGGTTGAGAATCCTCCATAAAAGACCTAAATGGTAGGAAGCAGCACTGCCCAGCACTGCTGGGCGGGTGGTACTGGATCATGGCGCTGCCGCACAGGAGTAAGGAAAGGATGGGTTCAGCTGCCCCCTGCTGGTGGCAGTTGGATCTTCACTTGCACACCATTGGGTATACTGATCCCCACAGCTCCAGTTCTGCTGCTGCTTAAAACCAAAACCTTGCTGGGTGCTGGGTACTCACACTTGTAATCTTAGCTACTGAGGAGGCTAAGATCTGAGGACTGCAGCTCAAGGGCAGGAAAGTCCATGGGACTCTTATCGCCAATTAAACACTAGAAAACCAGAAGTTGAGCTTATGGCTCAAAATGGTAGAGCACTAGCCTTGAGCAAAAGAGCTCTGGGACAGTGCAGAGGCCCTAAGGTCAAGCCCCACGACTAACAAAAACAACAAGAAAACCACAAACTGAAGCCCAACTCTGTACACACATTCTGGGTAAAGTTGGGCAGCTTGCTTGCCTTCTCTGACATAGGAGATCATTCTGGACAAGGAGAAAGAACTAGGTGTTTCTGAAGGTCCTCCTGGCCAGGATTCAGCAGTAGGTGGGCAGAGAGCCCCAAGGTCCTTTGGGGGGGCACCTACTGACAATTGCAATGGTGTAGTGTGTGGAGACATATTCTGTGCTTTACGCCATGAAACAGGTAGAGTCCTGGGCAGCCTGGAAGCAGAAATCCAGAGCATGGGCTGGAGCTGAAGCACCTCCGTGGCTCTGTGAGGGGCCCCAAGTCAGCCAGGGCTCCTCTGCCCTGGCCATATGCCCCAGTGCCAGATGGCCAGCACAAGCCAGTTTAGGGAGTGATGGCAAGACTTGGTCCAACAGGACAGCAGGGCAGGGAGGACAAAGAGCAGAGTGTTTGTCTTAGAACAATATGGGGAGGGGACAGGAGAGACAGTGGAACTGTCACAGATCGCCATGGGGACACGTGGCCACTCCCTACATCTCTGGCAATGTTCATTGTGAGCCCCAAACAGCCTTTGGACTGTTGGGAGCCCTACAGGGAGTCTCTCTGCATGATAGGCTTGACTATCTCACTGGAACATTTGGAGGCTGTTTACAGAATCCGGTCTTTTCATCCTGCCCCATACAAATAGCCGGTAGCTGCTAACGACCACCTTTTCACACTACCCTAAGCAAACATCCTACAGCTGCTACGGCCATTGAAAAAGCTTCCTTATTCTAAGCATATAAATACCCCTGTGTGAAAAATAAAAATTGGCAGCTTGATCAGAATCCTTGTCTTGCTGTCATTCTTCGTGTCTCTTGTCCCTTCATTCCTTCTCGCTTAGGTTCATTGCCCTCGTTGAAGTCCTGCGGGTCGGGACATTGGACAACAGCCAATAGCCCATGTCATGGTTGCTACCACCATTTCCTGTAGGGCCAAGAGCTCTGCTGGGACGCATCACCAGGGCTGCAGCACTTCACTAGGGCCAGCAGGGTGCGCTCTGGAGGCCACATGTTGATAAAGTTGCCGAGTGAGTGCAGATGGCTCATGCCTGCAATCCTTGATTATCAAGGGGCTGAGGTCTGAGGAGTGCAGTTCAAAGCTGGCCCAGGCAGGCAAGACTACCAGCAAAAAGCTGGAAGTAGAGCAGTAGCTCAAGTGGTCAACCTTGAGTGAAAAGAGCGTAGAGCAGTACACACACACACACACACACACACACACACACTATAAAGCTGGGTGCCCCTGGCTTATCCCTGGAATCTCAGCTGTTCAGAAGGCTGAAGATTGTGGTTCACAGCTAGCCCAGGCAGTAAACTGTGAGATTATCTTCAATTAATGACCCCAAAAAGCTGGAAATGAAGCTGTGGCTCAGGTGGTACAGCACTAGCCTTGAGCAAAAAAAAGTTCAAGGACAGCACCCAGAACTGAGTTCAAGCCCCAGGACTGGCATGTGTGTGTGTGTGTGTGTGCATACACCCACATACACACTCACCTACAATGAAATCCTCAGCAGCTGGGATTAGCACACCCTTGGTTATTTAGTATAAACCATGCCAAAGTTTATTTGAAATGGATTTTATTAATAAGTCACATGATACAAAAGAACATTCAAGGACATTTAGTAAAATACTGCCTTGTCCCAAAGAGCAGACAGAGAAGGTTAAGGCACAGTGGATGCATAGAAAACCCCCGAAGGGGCTGGAGAGTGGAAACACGTCATTTGTGCACATACACACATCAACCACACCCCACATGCTGTGGGCCCATCAGATAGGAATGCACCAAGTCAACAATCAGTGGGCCCAAGAAGTCTAGAAGGAGCCAGGAGCGGGGGCTGGCAGCTGAGAGAGGTCCCAGCAACTCCACATGGGGAGTTAAGAAGCCCAGACTCTTCTAGAGGACACGCCCTGGCCACTTCTTCCCACTCACACTGGGACAAACAGGCCCTGCCGCCAGAAGGCAAACCCACCTGACCAGGTACCAAGGCCGGGGGAAGATGAGAGGCCCAGGGCCCGGAAGGCCCTCCTCTCGGACCCAGCAGCTGGGGACAGTCAAGGCTGGCACCACATCCAAGCCGCCTTGCTCGTGTCCTTGGAGGGAAGGGACGAGCTCCTGTCACCACACAGCTGACCCCAGTGTCACCGAAGGAGTGTCTGTGCCTCTCAGTTAAACAAGTCTGTCCTTGAGTGGCCAGAGGTCACAGAACTCACCAAGCAAAAGCAGATGCACAAACCCAAACCAGACCCAACACGTGGGGCAAGGGTCATTTGGGGGTGCACAGGCTGAGGGGAGCCTCTTGGGCAGTAACAGGGGCTTTTCAGGATCATCCAGTGTGAAATGGGGGGTGTCTACTGGTCCCCAAGACAGCTCCCAACATGGGCATGACACCAAGGTAGACAAAAGGCACCTTGTCTGCTCAGTGTGTCTGGCCTGCAGAATGGGGTGGAGCCCTAGATAATCCGGGGGGACAGTGCTGTTTCCGCACAGCTCAGGCCAGGGGCCAGTCCTCCTGAGAGCAAGGTAGGTGGAATGCCAGCAGAAGGAATGCAAGACATGCTGACTGGAGTCCAGAAGAGCAAAGGCACACAGGACCCCACAGCCCGAGATGTGACCCAGGCCCCTGCCACCGGCGGCAGGAGCGATCACCTCCAGATGGGTATCGTGTTGGTCAGTAGGGGCAGCAGGGACAGGAGGATGGGCTGCAGAGGGGCCCGTGCCCACCGCTCCATGTTCTCAAGTACTCACGGACCACGTGCACAGCCTAATTTAAGCCTAACCCAGCCCGGCCCCTGCCTGGGAGGACAGCAGGTCAGGTGCAGAAGCGCACTCATCCTGAGTTCTGCTCCAGGCTGTCCGAGGGCTGCACCACGGTGTAGCTGCCCTGGCCCAGGGACAGCTGCCGGCTGAAGAAGGACGTGGTGCGCTTCGGTTTCACCCGCTTGATCCCCTTGCCTGCGAGGCAGAGAGAGAAACACGCTGAGGAGAGGCCCGAGTGGGGCTGCAAGGCCCCAGGAGGCGGGGCTCTGGCTCAGGTGGGAGGTCCTTCCAGGGCCTATTTGGACCCAGCGCTCACTTCAGACCTGGTTGCCTTCCGGCCTGTCTCCCGCCAGACTCATGGGGCTGTAGGGCAGCAGAGGAACTTTAGATATAGCACCAGTGGCTCACACCTATAATTGCAACTACTCAGGAGATAGATCCAGCAGGACACAGGATTCTTTTCTTTTTTGTGCTGGTCCTGAGGCTTAATCTCAGGGAGTCCCTTAGATTTTTTCATTCTAGGTTAGAGTTCTACCACTTGAACCAGACTCCCTTTCCACCTTTTTTGGTGGTTAATTGTAGATGAGTCTTTCCTCTTTCCTACCTAAGTTGGCTTCAAATCCCAGTCCTCAGATCTCAGCCTCCTGAGGAGCTAGGATTGCAGGCATGAGCCACCAGTACCCAGCAAGGATCACAGAAAACTCTGTCTGAAACCAGCAAAAAGCTAAGACTGGAGGTGTAGCTCAAGTGACAGAGTGATGGCCAAGCAAGCAGAACCCTGAGTTCAAACCTGAGCACGCACAAAAACCTAAAAGGGGGCTGGGAAGGTGGCTCAGGGGTAGAGTGCTTGTCTCGCATGCATGAGGCCCTGGGTTCGATTCCTCAACACCATATAAACAAAAAGCTAGAAGTGGCGCTGTGGTTCAAGTGGCAGTGTCAGCCTACAGTGAAAAAGCCAGACCCTTTGGTAAAATTTAGAGAATTCTAAACTTATATGTCAACCTGCACCTTAAATAAAAAGCACTGTATGGCTCCAGTCTGTCACATTCTGAGAGGTGCTGCAAGGAAGGTGCATGCTTGTGGAGGCATGTGGGAAAGGCCCGCCGGGCTCAGAGGGGGCTGACCCGGTCTGGACCTGCCATGTGTACCCATGCATGGTGGCTCACCCTCTTCCACGTAGTCAATGGTGGAGAGATGCTGGATCCGGCTGCACACCACACTGCCCTGCCTCCGTAGCTTGGGGCGCTGGGCGGCCAGCGGGGCAGGGCTGGAGGCCGAGTGGGGGCCACACGCACTGTCCTGGGGAGCAGCGTGCTCTGCGGCCTGGCTCAGCTCGATGCAGTACTCGATGAGGCCGCTCATCAGCTCAGCCTGGGGGGGCGGGGGGGGGGGAGGAGGCCACGGGATGAGCCGTGGCTCTGGCCCCGCCTTCTGGTGCCCATGGTTCCCAAGGAAGGAAAGAACATTCTAGTAGTCAGAAGGCACAGCCTGGGAAAGGCTGGGGTGGACAGGGAAGCCCAGTTGGGCCTCTAGAAGCCGAGCTGTTACAGAGGTGGGGGAGGGAAAGGTGGGGGGCGGGGGTCTGAGGAGAGTGACGTCATCAGAGGGGGTGGGGCTCCTGTGCACACATTCCTCTAACCTGACACTCCAGCACGGTGGACTCATACTGACTTAACGGGTGAAGTGGCCGGATGTCTGGGGGCACAGTGGGCATGGTGACAAGGGCCAAGGGCATGGAAGGAGTCAGGGAAGCTCTCGAGGGTGGTGTCCTTTGTCAGGAGCAGAGAGGTAGAAATGCCGGGACGGTCAGGCCCCCACGCACTCCTGCTCACTGAGCGGCAGAACTGTCATTGCCTGCTGGTGGTGGCTCTATGGACATTGCTCCAGTCCCACCTCATCTCCTGTGGCCCGACGCCTAGGCAGCAGCCAGGGGGGCGGGGGAGGGGGGGGGAGGAGAGGGGAGGAGGAGGTGGCTGGGAATATATTTGGCCTGAAGGAAATGAGCTAGCAAGGTCTTCTGCCCCCTCCTATTCCATGTCCCTGGCTGGTGACCAGAGGCAGCAAGCACGGAGTGGGAAAGCCCTCAGAGCCCCCCCGAGCAGGCTTGAGCACAGCCCGCTGCTTTCCAGGGAGATCAACACACTGCAGCTTCCATTCACAAAACCCCACTCAGAACCCGGCGATGAGACATTCACAAAACTGCAGGATTGCTAGCTAGGATTGCCAGAGGAATTTTCTCAACCCGACCAAGGACAGATCTACACTTCTGCCCCAGCTTTCCTAGGGGCACGGGCAGATTGGAAGCATCTGCTCAGCCCCTTCTCAACATGTCCTGCCACAGGACAGAGCAACGCCTTTCTCCCTCCTTCCCTCCCTTTTGGAGTGTGTAGTAGTAAGGATGGAACTTAAAGCACTCTACCACTTGAGGGATGCTCTCCAGTCCCTTGTTTTTTTTTTTATTGTGAGATGGAGTTTGCCTAACTTTTGCCCAGCTAGTCTCAAACCACAATCCTTCTGATATCTGCTTCCAAAACACTGGAATTACAGGCCTTTTTAATTTATTATTTTTTGTGTGTGTGGGGGGGCACTAGGCTTGCATTCATGACCTGGATTCTTTTTTTGGGGGTTCAGTCTTGGGACCTGAGCTCTGGGCCTGGGCGTTGTCCCTCAGCTCTTCAGCTCAAGGCTAGCACTCTACCACTTGAGCCACAGCACTACTTCTGGCTTTTTTCGTTTTTCTTTTGTGGTGCTAAGGAATTGAACCCAGGGCCTCAGGCATGCAAGGCAAGCACTCTACCACTGAGCCACCTTCCCAGCCCTCGATCGGGTTCTTAATGGTAGGGATCTACCACCTGAAGCCAAAGTGCCACTTGACCACCATCTCTAATTAACCATCTAAAAACTGGAAGGGGAGCTGTGGGTCAAAGTGGTGGAGCACAAGCCTTGAGCAAAAGAAGCTTAGGGAGAGTGCCCAGACCCTGAGTTCAAGCCCCAAGACTGGCAAAAAAAACAAAAACAAACAAACTTGGAGGCTGGGTGCTAGCTCACACCTAGCTACTCAGGAGGCTGAGCTCTGAGGATCTCGGTTCAAAGCCAGCTAGGGTAGTAAAGTCCATGAGACTCTTACCTCCAATTAACCACTAGAAAAGCAGGAGTAGAGTTGTGGCTCAAAGTAGTAGAGCACTAGCCTTAAGCAAAAAGAGCTCAGGGATAGTGCCCAGGCCCTGAGTTCAAGCCCTAAAACTTGGAGCGGGGTACCAATGGCTCACACCTATAATCCTAAGGGCTGGCTTTGTGGCTTAGTGGTAGAGAGCTTGCCTAGAATGTATCAAGCTCTGGGTTCGGTTCCTCAGTACCACATATATAGAAAAACCTGGAAGTGGTGCTATGGCTCAAGTGGTAGAGTTGTAGCCTAGAGCAAAAAAAGCTCAGGGACAGTGCCCAGGACCTGAGTTCAAGCTCCAGGACTGGCACAAAAACAAAAAACAAACAACAACAAAAATAAACCAAAACTATAATCCTAGCTACTCAGGAGCAGAGGATCAAAGGCTGAGGCTGACCCAGGCCAGTAAAAATGTTAAGACTCCATGCCCCAGTAACTAGCAAAAACCTAGACTGTGGTATGGCTCAGTGGGAAAGTACCAGCTGTGAGCAAGCAAACCAAACCAGAGCTCAAGGCCCTGATTTCAAACCCCAGGACTGACCTCCACCAAAAAAAAAAAAGAAAAGAAAACAAATCCAGTTTAAAAAATGGACAGGCAAATGATTTGAACCCAAGCTGCACAAAGAGATCAGAGGATAGCAATTAATAAGCACATGAAAAAGTAATTCATATCATTACTCATTACGAAAATATAAATTAAAATTGCAATAACATTCTACCATACATTACTAAAATGTCAAACAACACTAACATGACTGAGGGATGCCGCCAACATGCCGGCCACTGTGGAGCAGCACCAAGAGCGCCGCAGTGCTCCTGACAACCAGCTCTCTGTGCTGTGTAGCCGCTGTTGTGTCAGTGCTTGTTTCTGCTCTACCACCTGAGCCATGCTGCAGCCCTGTTTTTTTGCCTAATTTTAGAGATAAGAGTCTTATGGATCCTATTTTCTGTTCAGGCTAGCTTCCAATTGTAATCCTCTAGATAGCAGTATCTTGTTTTTTGTTTTTGTTTTTTTTCTTGTCGGTTGTGGGGCTTGAACTCTGGGCCTGGGCACTGTCCCTCAGCTCTTCAGCTCAAGGATAGCACTCTACCACTTGAGCTACAGCGCCACTTTCAGTCTTCTAGTGGTTTACTGGAGATAAGAGTTTCACCGACTTTCTTGCCCAGTCTGGCTTTGAACTGTGATCCTCAGATCTCAGCCTCCTGAGTAGCTAGGATTACAGGCGTGAGCCACTGGCACCCGGCTAGTATCTACTTTTTGTTTTTGTTGGTCAGGGGCCTTGAACTCTGGGCCCAGCCACTGTCCCTCAGCTCTTCAGCTCAAGGCAAGTGCTCTACCACTTGAGCCACAGCGCCACTTCCTGTTTTTTCTGTTTATATGGTGCTGAGGAATTGGACCCAGGGCCTCATGCATGCGAGGCAAGCACTCTACCACTGAGCCACCTTCCCAGCCCCAGCAGTGTTTTGAATAGCCAGAATTACAGCTGTGAGCCAGGTGCTCACGCCTGTTTTTTTTTTTTTTTTGTCGTGGGTCTTGAACTCTGGGCCTGGGCGCTGTCCCTCAGCTTTTCAGCTCAAGGCGAGCGCTCTACCACTTGAGCTACAGAGCCACTTCCAGTTTTCTAGTGGTTTATTGGAGATAGGAGTCTCATGGACTTTCCTGCCTGGGCTGACTAGAACTGTGACCCTCAGATCTCAGCCTCCTGATTAGATAGGATTACAGGCGTGAGTCACCAGCTTCCAACTCTTCCTTCATGTATTTTTTTTTTTTTTTTTGGTTCGGTCGTGGGGCCCGAACTCTGGGCCTGGGCACTGTCCCTCAGCTCTTCAGCTCAAGGCAAGTGCTCTACCACTTAAGCCACAGCGCCACTTCCGGCTTATTTTCTTATGTGGTGCTGAGGAATCGAACCCAGGGCCTCATGCATGCAAGGCAAGTGCTCTACCACTGAGCCACCTTCCCAGCCCCTCATGTATTGTTAAGGAGAGACGCCCAGCTCCTTTAGACCCTCCGGGGAGGCTCCCAGCCATGCAAAGCAGCCGGGTACTGCCAGACTCCCTCCACTCAGCAGTGGGGTTCCCAAGTGCAGCCTCCACACCTTGCCCAACCCCATTCTACCCACCAGCCAGGCAGCAAAGACGACACAGAGCAGACCGCAGGAAGTCCTCAGGATGTACAGCGGGACCCCAGCAGCACTGTCTACTCGTCTGCCCTCCCTCCCCGCCCTGCCAAGGGCGCCTCAGGCCCGCCCTGGCGGAGCTGCAGGTGGTACCTTCTCCCTGCTGTCGATGACGTGCACCCCCTCCAGGCTGATGGCCACAGTCACTGGCTTGCGTCCACCCCGGTGCAGAAAGCCCTGGGCCGGCTTGTCGATCTCACCGTGGAAGAAGGCACACCTGGGGAGGGGACTCGGGTGAGCCACCCCTGCGGCACGTGGCACGGTCAGGGGGCCTGCTTTGGGGCCCCCAGAAACTGAAGCTGTTTGGACAACTGAAGGTTGGACAGAAACCTGCTCCAGGGAAGGGAAAATCTGAGGAGGAGGAAGCAGCTCTGCAGGTCAGTGCCACGCGACTCGTGGCGCATGACGGGAACAGGGTGGCACAGAGCAGGGCGGGCCCTGCGGGCAGAGGGGAAGAGCAGGGACCAGAGCAAGTAGCATTCGGGGCTGGCAAGGAGCCTGGGCCTTGGGCAGGTGAGGCTGATGGAGGTGGCCAGGCCACGGAGCCCTGCCGCCTCCTTCTAGATGTGATGGTTGGGTCCCATCTGACTCAGTCACTGCCTTCGTTTCTGCTGACCATATCCTCTCCTCTCCTGTGGCACTTCCTCCACCGTTCCCGCTCGACTACATTTTTTTTTTTTTTTTTTGGGTCCGGTCGTGAGGCCTGAACTCTGGGCCTGGGTGCTGTCCCTCAGCTCTTCAGCTCAAGGCGAGCGCTCTACCACTTGAGCCACAGCGCCACTTCCAGTCATCTGGTGGTTAACTGAAGATCAGAATCTCACAGACTTTCCTGTCTAGGCTGGCTTCGAACCATGATCCTCAGATCTCAGTCTCCTGAGTAGCTAGGATTACAGGCGTGAGCCACTGGAAATCAGCTTGAAAGCAACTTTCTCTGGCAGGGCACAGACTAGACCCTTCTCCCTCCTTATACTGTGTACTACCTAGCGGCTCCCTCACAGCGGCTCAGAACCTGACCAGGCAGCTTGTGTCATTGGTTTCTGGCCTGAACCATCCTCTGCATTACTCGCACGTCCCTCGGCAATCCTGCTGCATCGGTGTCCCCGGGGCCCTCCCACCAAAGCCAGCTCCACAAGGCAGGCTCAGGGGCCCCAAGTGTGCATGGACTGGCACTCAGCCAGCACATGAGAGCCGGCTGAAGGCACAGTCAGCTGCTGTGGTGACCAGGTGGCAGTGGAGGTGTGCAGGCCTGAGAGGGAAGACTGGGAGGAGCTCAGGCCAGGGCTGCAGCCCGCTGGGGCAGTGGCGCAGGGCCGTGTGCTCACCCGTAGAAGGGTAGCTCGTGGCACTTGAGGAGGTAGGCGCGGTAGTGGGAGCCCAGCGTGGCGGCGTGCTCACTGTGGCGGCCGTCCGCTTCCTTCAGCTGGCGGTAGGCGTGCAGCAGGCCTTGCTCGCCCGTCCCGGCCTTGGCCTCTCGGCCCCGGAGGACAGCGAAGAGGCCTCGGCCCCGCTTGCAGAGGTGGGACGGGAGGAAGGAGTCCAATTTCTCCCTGAGGGGAAGCAAGGAGGTGCTGGGGGCCTGGGCAGAGTGTGCAGGTAGGCGCTCCTGCTGTGGGTGCCACACGCGCAGGGGAGGGAAAAGCCCCACAGGTGGCCTGGCACAGGAATGTCCGTGACATCCGAAGGCACCAGGGCCCTCCAGTGGCACCTGCCCAGGATCCTCCCACAGGGATCCCATGGTCTCCACTCTGGCAGTGGGGTTTAGGGGCCAGTGCCTAGGGAGGACCTGAACATTAAGAGGATGTGGGTCCTCAGGGGAAGGAGACAAGCAGGCTCTGTCACAACCAGCTGTGTGACCCACGATCACCTTTCCTGCTCTGTGCCCACTTCATCTGCCTGGGCTCACTGTGAAATGCCACTTTCTTCAAACTGGCAAAAGTGACAGATACAGGGGCTGCCAGGCCCAGGACAGAAGACAAACCAGCCTGTGCACCCCCGGTGTGCCACCCACCGTGGAGAGGCTTCTGGCCCCATCTGACTAGACGCCTGCCAACTTCAGGGCTAGAAAGTGCCCAGGAGAGGCCTAAAAGGCCAGGAGGCCAGGACGGCTGGGTTTTGAGCTACAAGAACAACCTAGTTCAAGTGGCCTGACACTGTAGTACCGGCGTGAGACACCATACTCAGCCAGCCTTTTACTGGGCACTGCAAAATCCTGACTTTGAGTTCAAAGAACAAGGCCAGCTCCCTCCGGACCCTGGCTAGAGGCTGGGCCCCGGCTCTGCACCTATGGGCGCCATGGGACCCCTCTGGCTGCGATGCATCTCAGATCTCACTTCACCCTCACTCATCTCCGGCTCCCGCTGCCCATCGCCCAAGAGGGAAAGGAGGCTGTGAGAGCTGGAGCAACTCACCCAGCGCCACATGGTGACTCCAGGACTGCGCCCACCTCCCGCAACCTAGGACCCTTGGTAAGCAGGATGGGCAGGGGCAACCGTCCCCACCGGATGTCCCGCCCTCACCTCAGGGCACAGGCCGTGGGCTGGCCAGGCTGGTAGGGCCCAAGCTGCACCCGGCACACCAGGGCCCCGAGTGCTTCGCAGTCCTCGACGTCACATGGGTACCGGGCAGTCAGCACATTGCCCTTGGCCTCCTCGTAGAGCAGCCGCAGGACCTCCTCATCTTGCATCTGTCGGCCGGTAAGGCAAGGAAGGAACGCTCAGCTGGGTGAGGGCCAGGCCTGATGAGGGGTCTCGGGGAAGGGGAGATGGGACAGAGGGCACACAGGACGTGGGTAGCAGCACCCCTGCACTCGCGGCCTCACCTGGAGCTCCCGCCGCTTCGGGAAGAACACGTTCCTCCGGAACTGCAGGGATGGCTCATCTGGGGGAAGAGGCTGCGATCACCGGCGCACGCCCGGGCGCGGCCCGCACCCCAGCTCCCCAACTCGCCTACCGGGACTGGAAAGACCCCAGGCAGGGGCGCAGGGCCCATCTCTGCAGCTGCCCCTCCCGGCCCACCCTTCTGTCCTCCCCGAGGCAGGAGGGGACACACAGCCCCGCTTGGGGCCTGCGGCCGCACGGACCTGTGGCCACATCGTCATCTGGGGCGTCGGTGAATCGCAGCAGCAGCTCCGGCCACTGGCGGCCCAGCTTGTACGGCTGATGCCTGGGCTTCAGCTGCACCTCTGTGGGCAGAAAGGAAGTATCATGCAACCTTTAACGGGCTACCACCCTGCCCACCCTGCAAGCTAGTGTCGTGGCCAGCAGCAGCGGAGTAGAATGGAGTGTCCTGAGCGACTCTAGCGGCTCACACGCGGTCTCCTGGCCATACTCCACCCTCCACCTCACCACAGAGAAAATGAGGCTCAGAGCAACTAGGCTGCTGCCCCGAGCAAGTGGATGGGCCTGCTCAGTACAGCTTGTTCCCCAGGGCCAGCTGGATCTGAGAGGGGAACGGCCCAAGGGGGCCAAGGGAAAGTAGCCAAAAGACCCAGCACTGGCCGCCTCCAGTCGCCATCTGCTGGTGACTAGGGCCTGAAGGCTCAGGGGAATGCTGTAGATCGCTGGGGCAGAGCCTGGGCTTCCCATGTCCATCTCCAGTGACGCTCTCACTCCACAAACACCACCACCTCTCTACTCTCTCTCCATCCCATCCTGCTCCGCTCACACTGTCTTAAGTGGCACAAGTAATCTCAGGGAGTCTATACCTCAGGACCTTTGCCCATGCTGTTCCTCCTGCCTTGGTCACAGATCTTCACATGGCTGGCTGGATTAAGTCTCAGTTCAGGGTCATTCACCCTGGCCCTGTTACTAAAGCAGTCCCTCCACAGGATTTTCTGTTTTTCTTTTTCCAGTCCTGGGGCTTGAACTCAGGGCCTGGATACTGTCCTGATCTTCTTTTGCTCAAGGCTAGCATTCTACCATTTGAGCCACAGTGCCACTTCCAGCTTTTTCTGTTTTAGGTGGTACTGAGAAATTGAACCCAGAGCTTCATGCATACTAGGCAAACACTCTACCACTAAGCCACATTCCCAGCCCTCCCTCCTCAGGATTTTCTATCATAACTTACAGATGGGTAAACCCTCTTTTGCAACCCAGAACTCATTGCTGAATATGAGACTTTGGTAAATGTAAGAAGGAATATGATTCCTACAACAGTTGGCAATGTGGTTTGTTAACTCACACAGGTTGACTCTGAAATAAAGCTGATACAAAAGCTAAAAAAAAATCATTTCCTATCTCATAATTGTGTGTTTTTTTTGGTTGTGGGGCCTGAACTCTGTGCCTGGGCACCGTCCCTCAGCTCTTCAGCTCAAGGCTAGTGCTCTACCACTTGAGCCACAGCACCATTTCCTGTTTTCTGGTGGTTAATTGGAGACAGTCTATCAGACTTTCTTGCCCAGGCTGGCTTTGAACCACGATCCTCAGATCTCAGCCTCCTGAGTAGCTAGGATTACAGGTGTGAGTCACCAACGCTCGGCTGTAATTGCTCCCTTATGGGGCTTTCCTCTACCTGACATTCTTTCTCACCATGTGGCAGGAGCTAGCAGTGTGTCCTCTGGGCCCAGTGGCACACACAAGGCCAAACACTGCATAAAGGGCAGCTCCTGCTGATGGCACCTCATCCCGAGACATGGCCCCCGCCACTGATCAGCCATGATGGAGTGCTCCACACACGGCCCTCGAGCTCAGGCTGTCATGCAGGAAGAACACAGCAACAGGGGCTCCCGCAGCAGCTCTGACCTATATGAGGGGACCGTACCCACTGCGGCGCTGCCCTGCAGAGGCGGGTGGCAGTTTCCAAGCTCACCCAGAAAGGCGCTGAGGTGTGTGCTGAGGATGCCTGCCATGCCTGCCAACAGGTTTCTGCCCCGGATCTCCTCCCCTGCCCTTCGCCTCCCTGCTGATGACCAACTGCCTTGTCCTACCAGCCTGATGCTAAAGGTCCTCATCTCTGTTCTCTGGACCTGGCTTTAGGATCCCTTGACCTCAGACAGCAGCCATGGCCTCTACATGGACCTCCTGGCCTCCAGTCTTCTGCCCTGCAGGCCTTGCATCTACAGGCCTTTCTTTTTCTTTTCTTTTTTTGGTCGGTCATGGGGCTTGAACTCTGGGCCTAAGCACTGTCCCTCAGCTCTTCAACTCAAGGCTAGCGCTCTACCACTTGAGCTACAGCACCACTTCCAGTTTTCTGGTGGTTTATTGGAGATAGGAGTCTCACGGTCTCTCCTGCCCGGGCTGGCTTTGAACCGAGATCCTCAGATCTCAGCCTCCTGAGTAGCTAGGATTACAGGTTTGAGCCACCGGCGCCCGGCTTCTGCAGGCCTTTCTTAAAGCCCCATCATTTCTGATCCAGATTTCCTAGAGGTGCCGTGGCGTTCGTCTCTCACCCAGATCCCAGGCCCCACCCTTTGGCCAGCCATCCAGCCTTCCTCTCCTCCAGAAAGGGCTTCCCTGTCATCCTGACAACTTGGCCCCCTCCTCGGACTTCAGAGGGCATGAAGATCATTTGTAGTGAGAACCTGAGGCCGCAGAGGGACAGGGACTGTGGGAGGCCACACGCTCTGCTTCCCGTGAGCACTCTGGACTGGAAAGTACCACGCTGGAGTGCTGGGGGAGGGCCTGTCACCTCCTTGCTGCTGCACCCTCCGCAGTCACAAGCTGAGTGGGGAAAGGCGGGCCTGGGAACAGGGACGGCCTGTCTCTTGCCTTGACTCTCAGACCAGCAGCTGACTAAGCTGACTCCACCATCCTTGACTCCAGATAGGACTCTGCCACTTGTCACCTGACAAGGACAGTGCCTGGAGCCCTGTTCCATGGAGAAGGCCAAATACTACCCAAATGTGGGGCACAAAGGGCCAGTCATGCTGACAGCGCCTCATCCCTGCCTTGTGGACACCCACGCGGGGGACCTCTGCCTCTGCTTCACCCTGTCTGCAGGGGGCGAGGGAGGAGACAAGGGGAGCTGGGGCCCCAAGGAAAGCTGGCGTGGACTTGCAACCTCCCACGCCAGCCTGGGACAACATGGCGTGAACCAGGAGGCTTGGGCCTAGCCTCCTCTTGGATGGGCTCAGCCACACAAGCAGCCCATTCAGTTGTCAGCTGTGGGGGACAGGAATGTGGGAAGGGAGTGGAAGAAGCGGAGGGGAGAGGAGGCTCCTGCTGGCCCTGGGAGCCTCCCAAGGACAGGGCAAGGGCCACCCACTAGACCCCACCGCCCCCGGCTTTCTAAAGACACAGCTGGTCACGCCCACAGGCCTGAGTAGCAGCCCAAAGGAAGAACTGGGGGCCAGAGATAGGGGGCCAGGGAAGCTGGATGAGCAGGAAAAGGGTGGGTGAGAGCCTGGGGTGGCAGCTGCACAGGAAGCTGGGTGGGGTGGGGAGGAGGAGGGAGGTGGAGGATGCTGGGAGTTCCCTCTCTCCTACCCAGAGGACAGAGCCTCCAGCGTAGACGTCTAGTCCCTCCTGGACTCAGGAGAAGGGGGAGTCACTAGGGACTGGAGCGTTAACTTTTTTTTTTTTTTTTGGGTCCGGTCGTGTGGCCTGCACTCTGGGCCTGGGCTCTGTCCCTCAGCTCTTCAGCTCAAGGCTAGCACTCTACCACTTGAGCCACAGCGCCACTTCCAGCTTTTTGCTTATGTGGTGCTGAGGAATCGAGCCCAGGGCCTCATGCATGCAAGGCAAGCGCTCTACCACTGAGCCACTTTCCCAGCCCCAACCCTCTTTTCTTTTGGTTAGTTGTGGGGCTTGAACTCTGGGCCTGGGTGCTCTACCACTTGAGCCACACCCCCACTTCTGATTTTCTGGTGGTTTACTGGAGGTAAGAGTCTCATGGAGTTTCCTGCCCGGGCTGGCTTTGAACCATGATCCTCAGATCTCAGCCTCCTGAGTAGCTAGGAGTACAGGCGTGAGCCATGGTTGCCCAGGGCTGTTCACCCTCTTAATGCCTCTGGTCACCTGTCCTTGTCCCCATTCCTCCATAACAAAGGGAATATTGGTGCTCAGAAACCATGCCTGGGCCCAGCACCAAGTTACTTCTCCAGATGACAACATAGGCATTTCTTTCGTTGCTTCCTTTCCTGCCTGCGGCAGTTTACGGGCCTCGTTCACCCCAGTAGCCCTGCCTGAGGTCTGATGAGCCACCTATTCCCACCTCAGCCCGATGGCTGTCATGATGGTTCTAGCTTGGTGCTAACATGGGTTGGTCTCAGGGCTGCAGTCTTCAGGGGACACACTGAAGTTATGCTCGTCAAGCGTGGCCGGGCGGTGTGGTGAGCCCTCCTGCCCCTGCATCTCCTGGATGCCCCAGGCCCAAGCATCACTGAGGTGATGGGCAGGCTGGGTCTTTAGCCACAGGAGCCAGATCGTCTCGGGACTCTAGGACACACATGCCACTTCCCGCCAGAGGTTCCGAAGCTGCCCTTCCCTTTGGCCTGGTTGGTCAGCACCCTCCTCATACCTCCCTCAAGCTGGACCTCTCACTGCCACAGCTTACCCAGCAGAGGGGAGACGAGCCAGAGCGCGAAGGCCTCCAGGGCGCTGTCTGGGAGCTGCAGGACCTCTCGGACTGCGCGATGCAGCTCATGGGCACTGACCGCAGGAAGGTTCTCCACCGCCAGGGGCACCACTGTGTCGTCAGCTAGATACACCAGCACATCAGCAGCTACAAGGGAGGGCGAGCAGCTCAGCCGGGGCCGCTGGCAGGCACAGCCAGGCTGAGCAGCCGTCCTCCACCCCTTTCTAGCCCTTGAGGCATCACAGGCTACACTGAGGAAAAACTGACATCCCCAAAGACCCTGTTAGGAATGCTATTAGACACAGAAATGAGGGACAAAGGGGCTGGGAAGGTGGCTCAGTGGTAGAGCGCTTGCCTTGCATGCATGAGGCCCTGGGCTCGATTCCTCAGCACCACATAAGCAAAAAGAAAAAAAGCCAGAAGTGGCGCTGTAGCTCAAATGGTAGAGCACTAGCCTTGAGCTGAAGAGCTGAGGGACAGAGCCCAGGCCCAGAGTTCAGGCCCCACGACTGGACCCAAAAAAAAAAAAAAAAGAAATGAGGGACAAAGAATGAACCAATGCAGTGGTACTCACTAGATGCTACGTTGAAAATGAACTGTACAACTTGTGGTTGGGAATGGAAAAGAAAAACTGGGAGAGCAAGGGAAGGGTGACACTGTTCAAAAAGAAATATACTGTTTACCTGACTTCCGCAACTGTCATTCCTCTGTATATTACCTTTATGATAACAGTTAAAAAAAAAAAAGTAGCCATGGGCTGGGAAAGTGGCTTAGTAGTAGAGTTCTTGCCTAGCATGCATGAACTCTGGATTCAATTCCTCAGTACCACATACACAGAAAAGGCCAGAAGTGGCACTGTGGCTCAAATGGTATAGTGCTAGCCTTGAGCACAGAGACTCAGGGACAGTGCCCAGGCCCTCAGTTCAAGCCCCAGGACTGGCAAAAAAAAAAAAAAGTAGCTGTGACTGGGGGCTGATGTCTATAATCCTAACTAATCAGGGGGGCTGAGATCTGAGGATTGAGATTTGAACCTAGTCTAAGCAAGAAAGTCTGTGAGACTCTTATCTCCAGTTAACTAGCCAAAAAAAAAGACAGAAGTAGAGCTGTGACAAAAGTGGTAGACCAGCCGGGCGCTGGTGGCTCACGCCTGTAATCCTAGCTACTCAGGAGGCTGAGATCTGAGGATCTCGGTTCAAAGCCAGCCCGGGCAGGAGAGACCATGAGACTCCTATCTCCAATAAACCACCAGAAAACTGGAAGTGGCGCTGTAGCTCAAGTGGTAGAGCGCTCGCCTTGAGCTGAAGAGCTGAGGGACAGCGCCCAGGCCCAGAGTTCAAGCCCCATGACCGACAAAAAAAAAAAAAAAGTGGTAGACCAGTAGCCTTGAGCTCAGGGAAAGCTACATGCCTGTAATCCTAGCTACTCAGGAAGCTGAGATCTGAGGATCATAGGTCAAAGCCAGCCCAGGAAATAAAGGCCATGAGATGGAGCAGTGGCTCAAAGTGGTAGAAAGCAAAACAGCTCAAGTACAGTACCCAGGCCCTAAGTTCTCCCATGATCAGCACAAGGGGGAAAAAAGTCCCTGTGGATTAAATGAGGCCTATGAAAGGGCAGGGTACAGTATATAGTTAACATAACTAAATGTGGGTTTTAGACTCCTAGTCTTTTCTGCTCCAACAGCTACTTAGATGAAAGCATCATCTCTAAGAGACAGGTTCAGGGGCTGGGAATATGGCTTAGTGGTAGAGTGCTTGCCTTGAGGGTTGACTCCTCAGTACCACGTAAACAGAAAAAGCCAGAAATGGCACTGTGGATCAAGTGGTAGAGTGCTAGCCTTGAGCAAAAGAAGCTCAGGAGCTGGGCGCTGGTGGCTCATGCCTGTAATCCTAACTACTCAGGAGGCTGAGATCTGAGGATCACAGGCTGGCTTTGAACAAGCCAGCCTGGCCAAGGAAAGTCCGTGAGACTCTTATAAACCACTAGAAAACCGAAAGTGGCGCTGTGGCACTGCGGCTCAAGTGGTAGAGCGCTTGCCTTGAGCTGAAGAGCTGAGGGACAGCGCCCAAGCCCAGAGTTCAAGCCCCACTACTGACCAAAAAAAAGAAGCTCAGGGACAGTGCCCAGTTCCTGAGTTCAAGCCCCAGGACTGGCAAAAAAAAAAAAAAAAGAGGGGGGAAAGAGGGGGAAGAGAGGGGGAGAAAGGGAGAAGAAGAGAAAGGAGGGAGATGGAGGGGGAGGGGGAGGGAGAGGGAGGAAGAGGGAGGGAAAGGGAGACAGGTTCAGACTAACTTTACAGACAGGGAAAACAAGCACTAAAGGCTCAAGTTCATAATCACCGCAGGGCTCAGCTGCCTGTGAGTTAACCTCTCTAGGACCCAATTGCCTTCCAATAAAATGTAGGTAATGATGATCCCAGGTGCCAAGGGGTTGTTTGGGAGAATGAAATGGAACAAAGAAAGTGAAGATGTCATTTTTCATTCATGTGCTCTCATTTAACTTCACAGCTGAGACATGTCCATCAAAGAACATGCACTTCACCAGGCACTGGCGCCTCTTATGCCTATAATCCTAGCTACTGGAGGCTGAGATCTGAGGATCTGAAGTTCCAAGCCAGCCCAGGTAGAAAAGTTTGTGAGACTCTTTTTTTTTTTTTGGGGTCCGGTCGTGGGGCCTGAACTCTGGGCCTGGGCGCTGTCCCTCAGCTCAAGGCTAGCGCTCTACCACTTGAGCTATAGCGCCACTTCTGGCTTTTTTTCTTATGTGGTGCTGGGGAATCAAACCCAGGGCCTCATGCATGGAAGGCAAGTGCTTTACCACTGAGCCACCTTCCCAGCCCCGTTTGTGAGATTCTTATCTCCAATTAACCACCAAAAAGCTGGAAATACCACCCTTGAACAAAAAGCCAAAGCCAGAGCACAGGGTCCTGAGTTCAAAGCCAAGTACAAGCCCCCCTCCCCAAAACAAAGAATACCGACTTGGTCACTAAGCTCGTGATAGAGCCCAGGTCCTCTTCCTAAGCTTGTCCTGCATGGAACACACATTCTTTCTTTTCCTTTGTTTGGGGTACTGAATTTTGAATCGGGGCCTCACACTTGCTCAGCTTATATACTCTTACCACTTGAGCCATGCCTCTAGCCCTGCTTTTTGCTGTTTTATTTTGGCAGTCTTGGGTACTTTTTTTTTTTTTGATCGAGGGTTGGCCTAGCACTACAAACCTCCAGATGTCAGTTTCCTGAGGAGCTAGGATGACAGGTGGGAGCCACCCGTGTCCAGATTACCTTATTCTAGTCATGTTATATTTAATGAAAAAGAAGACAAGTCTGAGGCACATCCGCAGGGCTGGGAGTCTCGGGAGCGTGAGAGGAGACACAAAGGAGGGCAGGACCCACCTCGAGCTCCCACGGAGGACACACTGCTTCGGTGGGACCGCTCGGCGGAGCCGGGCTGCCCGGCATTACCTTCTGCCCCCTCCATCTGTACAGGGAGAGAAAGACAGCAGTTACTGGGGGTCCTGGGGTGAGGGCGGGGGTCGGGTATCCTCAAGCTTTCATCCAAGGAGGAAAAGGGTCCCGCGGCTGACACCCGGTCGGGAGAAGCCACGCGCCCCACTTCCGGCCGGGTCGGGCCTGGTGCGGGGGTCACAGGGCCGGGGCGGGGGGGGGTCCGAGGCTGCCGGCCGGGGTGGCCGGGCGGGGCACCGCGCCCCTGTCCGGCAGGGAGGGATGGCGTCCTCACCTCGCAGGGTCGCAGAGCCCGTCGCCTCGGGCCAGGACCCCGCCGGGACTGCTGCCGCCCCCAGCTCCAGTCCACAAGTCGCGCCCGCCGCTGCCCAGACTCCCGCGGACTCCAAGTCCCCGCCGGGGCTCCGCCGCCGAAGTCGCCGCAGGAGGAAGCCGGGCACGCTAGGCCCCGCCTCCCCCAGCGCGGGAGCCAATCGGAGCCCGAAGCCGCCGCGCCCGCGCCCTGCCGGCGTCCGCGCCCCCTCGCGGTTGCGCATGCCCGGAGTCCGCCTCTGCGCTGGACGCGTCACGACCCAACCCCACCAACCCCACGACCCTTGACCTATAAGAAGAAGTGGCGGAGCCGGGCGCTGGTGGCTCACGCCTGTAATTCTTAGCAGAAGACTGAGCTCTGAGGGTCACGGTTCGAAGCCAGCCTGGGCAGGAAAGTCCACGAGACTATCTCCAATTAAATACAAACTACAACAACCAGAAGTGGAGCTGTGGCTTAAGTGGTGTAGGGCGAGCTTTGAGCCACACAGCTCGGTGCCAGCGCCCAGTCCCTGAGTTCAAGCCCTACAAGTGGCACAAAACAAAACAAAACAAAAACAAGAAATGTGGGCACAGTGCCGGGGTTCACACCTGTAATCCTAGCTACTCAGGAGGCTGAGATCTGAGGATCATGGCTCAAAGCCAGCCCAGGCAGGAAAGTCCGTGAGACTCTTATCTCCAATAAACCACTAGAAAATCGAAGTGGCGCTGAGGTTCAAGTGGTAGAGCACTCACCTTGAGCTGAAGAGCTGAGGGACAGCGCCCAGGCCGAGTTCAAGCCCCACAACCGATGAAAAGAAGAAAGGAAAGAAAGAAATGTTGATCAGATGACTGGGCAGGGTAGTACACACCTTTAAGCCCCAAAATTGGGCTGTGAGGTAGAAGATTTCAAGTTCCAGGTCAGCCGAGGCTATACAGTGACGCTGTCTCAAACAACAACCAACTGAACAAAAACCCCCTCAGGTCAGGAACGCTGTTTTTCCAGGATGTAGTCACCTGAGCCCTGGCAACTTCAGACACAAAGCCAGCTTGAGGTATTCCCAGGCTGAGGAGAGGCCTTGGGGCCTAGACAGGCGGCCATGAACCCACCCCCACCCCCAGTCACAGCACCAACAAGTCCTGGCAATGCCAGCATCCTTGTGCCTGAGGTGCAAAAAGGGAGAGAAAAACAAGCTCATAGACTGTCTTCCCAAGCCAGGGGAACTAGAGAGTGCTCCAGGAGCAAGTGGGCTTGGAAGTGAGGCTACTGGGACTTGGGGTCACATCGCCCTAATTCCCTGCTAGGAAAGCAGCTCCTGACCCCGCCCATGGTTCTTTAATATTTTTTTATTTTTTTGCCAGTCATGGGGCTTGAACTTTGAGCCTGGGCACTGCCGCTGAGCTCCTTTTGCTCAAGGCTAGTGCTTTACCACTTGAGCCACAGCGCCACTTCCAGCTTTTCCTGAGTAGTTTATTGGAAATGAGTGTCACTGACTTTCCTGCCCAGGCTGGCTTTGAACTACTATCCTCAGATCTTAGCCTCCTGAGTAGCTAGGATTACGGGCTTGAGCCACCAGCACCTGGTGGGTACTTCAATATTTCAGGCGTCTTTGCCTGTCCCCTCAATCCCCCCCCCGCCCCATTGGAACCCATGGGGTAGTCATGTGGCCCCCAGATCAGAGTGACCCAGGGACTCAGGGAAGCTCATGTGTGAGTACAGAGAAGGGCACCGAGGGAACACATGACTCCTTCCTGTTCTCAGCACTGGGACACACCAGGACAAGTGGACTGACTAGCTGTGGGGTCTGTGCTAGATCAGGAAATGGAGACCCAAGGGATGTATGGCCCTGCCTCAGGAAGTGTCCATTATGGTTTAACTGAGGAGTGAGAGGAGGGGGGAAGAAAAAGAAAAGCCAGGAGAATGGCACCAGTGGCTCATACCTGTAATCCTAGCTACTCAGGAGGCTAAGACCTGAGGATGTGGTTCAAAGCCACCCTAGGCAGGAAAGCCCATGAGGCTCTTATCCCTAGTTAACCACCAAAAAGCCAGAAATGGAGCCACAGCTTAAGTGGTATAGCTGTAGCCTTGAGCAAAGAAGCTCAGAAGCAGTACCCAGGCCCTGAGTTCAAGCCCCATGACAAAAAAATTATATACTATTGGGTTGGGAAGGTGGCTCAGTGGTAGAGTGCTTGCCTTGCACGCCTGAGGCCCTGGGTTCGATTCCTCAGCACCACATAAGCAAAAAGAAAAAAAAGCCAGAAGTGGCACTGTGGTTCAAGTGGTAGAGGGCTAGCCTTGAGCTAAAGAGCTGAGGGACAGCGCCCAGGCCCAGAGTTCAGGCCCCACAACCGGACCCAAAAAAAAAAAAAAAGAGTCTCAGGGACTTTCTTGCATGGTGTGGCAGGAAACCACAATCCTCAGATCCCAGAGTCCTGAGCAGCTAGGATTACAGGCCTGAGCCACCAGCGCCCAGCTTGACTGTAATTTTGTTTGTACCAGGGCGTGAACTGTTATCCTTAGCCTTTTTGGTCAAGGCTGCCACTCTACCACTTGAGCCACAGCTCCACTTCCAACCTTTATCTGGTTAATTGGAGATCAGAGTCTCATGGATTTTTCTGCCCTGTGTGGTTTCAAACCATAATCTTCAAATCTCAATTTTCTGAATATTCTGAGTAGAATTAGAGATGTAAGCCACCAGCACTCAACATTACATGTGTGTGTATATTATATACATGATACTGTATTATATGTTGTGATATATTGCTACATATATTATATACATTATGTATAATGTATATACATTGTATATATACCTTATGTATATAACATATATAGCACTATATCATATAATATATACATTATATAATGCACATAATGTATATAGCAATATATAATATATGTTACATAATACATATAGTATATAATTTTTTGGGGGGGGGTCCAGTCTTGGGGCCTAAACTCTGGGCCTGGGCGCTGTCCCTCAGCTCTTCAGCTCAAGGCTAGCGCTCTACCACTTGAGCCACAGTGCCACTTGAGCTACAGCGTCACTTCCGGCTTTTTTTTTCTCTTTGCTTATGTGGTGCTGAGGAATCAAACCCAGGACCTCAGGCATGCAAGGCAAGCGCTCTACCACTGAGCCAACTTCCCAGCCCCTCCCTAAGACTCTTATTTCCAATTAACCAACAGAAAAGGGGAAGTGGCGCTGTGGCTCTAGTGGTAGAGCGCTAGCCTTAAGCGAAAGAGCCCAAGGACAGTGCCCGGGCCCTGAGTTCAAGCCCCAGGACCAAACAAGTAAAATAAAATTAAAATTAAAAAATGTATATACTCATGCATAGCCCTTGATCTGTCAGAGCCAACAGAGAGGGGGGGAAGGGGGTGTTATGGGGTTTGTCAGGCAGTGAAGAAGTTATGAGCTAGACAGTGACAGAAGGAGTACTCTACTCTGCCAGGAGGAAGATGAACCTAGTAGAATTGCTGGAAGACTGGAGAAGAAGCCAGGGTACAGAACTCTGGGGGAGTCTATTATTATTATTATTCACTTTTTAAAATTTGAATACTATTTGCACAAAGGTGTTTCTTTTTTTTTTTTTGGTTGGTTGTGGGGCTTGAACTCTAGGCCTGGGCGCTGTCCCTCAGCTCTTCAGCTCAAGGCGAGCGCTCTACCACTTGAGCTACAGCACCACTTCCGGTTTTCTGGTGGTTTACTGGAGATAGGAGTCTCACGGTCCCTCCTGCCCGGGCTGGCTTTGAACCACGATCCTCAGATCTCAGCCTCCTGAGTAGCTAGGATTACAGGCGCGAGCCACCAGCGCCCGCCCGGCACAAAGGTGTTTCATTTTGACATTTCCACGCATGCTTACAATGTATCCTCATCCATCTCACCTCTCCCCATAGCTCTCCTTCCTCCTACGCCCCACTTTTTTTTCTTTCTGGTACTGGTGTTTGAACTCAGGGCCTTAAACTTGCTTGGTTGGCTGGCATTTATTACTTGAACCATGCCTCCATCCCAGCTCTTCTTTTTTAGTCAGTCATGGGCCTGGGCACTGTCCCTGAGCTCTTCAGTTCAAGGTGAGCGCTCTACCACTTGAGCCACGGCACCACTTCCGGTTTTCCAGTGGTTTATTGGAGATAAGAGTCTCACAGACTGTCCTGTCCCGGCTGGCTCTGAACTGTGATTCTCAGATCTCAGCCTCCTGAGTAGCCAGGGTTACAGGTGTGAGCCACTTGGTGCCCTGCGGAGTTGGTTATTTTTTAGTCTCATTTTATGCCTGGACTGTGATCCTCGTTTCTGGTGGCAGGTGCATGTGATTGCCATTAATTAAGATGGAGTCTTCCAAACTTTTTTCCCCAGGCTGGCCTTCAAACTTTGATCCTGGATCTCCACCTCTCAAATGAGATTACAGGCTTCAGTGACTGCACCAGATGGCCCACCAGCCTTTACATTTTGGGGCCCTTTGGTAATGGAGAGAAAGAAAGCCTCAATTCTGACCATTGGTGCTACTTCCTGGCTTTTTCATCCATTTATTCTTTCTTTTTTTTTGCCAGTCCTGGGGCCTGAACTCAGGGCCTGGGCTCTGTCCCTGAGCCTCTTTGTGCTCAAGGCTAGCACTCTACCACTTGAGCCACAGTGCCACTTCCAGCTTTTTCTGTGTATGTGGTACTGAGGAATCGAACCCAGGGCTTTGTGCCTGCTAGGCAAGTGCTCTACCACTAAGCCACATTCCCAACCCCATCCATCCATTCTTCGAAGGCTCATGGTAAGCCTACTCTGTGCCAGGACTATTTAGTGGCTAAAACCACCAGACATCCTTGAGTGCACAGATAACCAACTACTTCTCCACAGAGCATATGGATGATTAGCACAATGGAGGGAAGGAGAGGCTGAAGTGAGGAGGGCGTCCACTGCTGGACAGGAGAGCAGAGTACAGGGGTAAATGAGCTGATTCAGGAAGGCCTCCCTGAGGTGACATTTGAGCCCCCAGCTTGAAGGAGCCCAAAGAGAGAGTGTCTGGAAGAAGAGAGTCCGGGCAAAGTCCTGGAGGCGGGGAGTTTTCTGGGCAAGAAGTAGGAAGTGAGGTCAGAGGAGAATGGGTGGCGCCCTGCAAGATCAGCCTCGCAAGGAGCTGACTTCCCTTTCC